GTTCGCGGGTTACTTCTAGTGCTGCCAACGCACACGTGCAGGCCCGATGGTGTGACTGTGCCATGGCTTGCCGAGACAAGCTCGACTCAGCCGTGGGGTCTTCTGTGCGTCGTTTGCAACAGGGCGGCTTCCAGTCCTGACACTGCTTCGTCTGCATTCATCAGAGGGACGAAAGGTAGACAGCAAGACGTCCCTTGGCATCTGTTGGGCTTTCGTTCGGAGTTCCAGCACGAAAGACAGTCTGGTAATCTAGAGTGCCGTGCTTGCCTTTCCTGAGGTGGCCTCAAGCTGCAAGTACGGTGACCGCCTTCAGCTGGAAGATTTACGGCGTCATGGACAGAGCGACTTGCATTTCCATTCGTTGCAATCGCTTTGTGCTTCCCTGCCGACTGATCCTGTGCAGCAGAAGATTGATAATACAGTTCCCACTCCGGCACAAGTACGAGTCAGTGTGGAAGTCGTGCTTGCACCAGCAGCTGGCCAGACTTCGACTTATACTTCCAAGTGTGAACTTGCAGGGCGGGGCGACCCTGTCAACTACCCCCTCGCCCGAAGCGGAGCTGCAGAACATCCAAGAATAATTGAAGCCATTGCACAGACTCTCCTCGACATGGACCGCGAGCTCTTCAAGGCATGTGTATCAGCTGGTTTTTCGCAGGCGGGCTTTGTCCTGTAATCAGCATGGGCGATTGTTACGATGTGTTGCCTTTTCCTCATGTGCATTTGACAGGACAATTCTCAAGACTACGCTTCTATGCGGGTGAAACTTGTGGACAAATCCTTTAATGTCCATTGCCGGCATCTTCAAATCAGCTGTGTCCATGGCAAGAAGGCCTCACTATCATTTCGGGCCTTAGTCTTGGCTTTTGATTGTCATATGTTGTTACCCCTTCCCAGACAGCCCTCGAAAAGTGCGAGATCATCCAAGCCGCTTTGCAGAGGGTGATCCCAGATGACGGGGAACGTGCGCATTTTCAAAACATCGTCCAGGCGGGTGGTCTTCTAGACTGAGTCTGAGGTTGATTTGACGTTCAGCTGTGGAGGTGTTTACAACAGACGGCGAATCCGCCGAGACCCTCGCAGGTCGGATGGCTGCTGCTCCTCTTCCTTATTGCTTTGCAATGCTAATGAAATTATTCTGGTGTCTCTGTTCCCCACTTGTGTCTGCCTGAAATCAGCGGCTGAGGTGAAAGGTGTGTTTCCCGGACTGCTCTGCACCCATAGGTGCATGATGCACTCGGCTCAACGAGCCCTGGAGGCAGCCGTGAAATCAGACACTGCCCTGGCAAAGCTCCTGGACGATTTGGTCTTCCGCTACTCCGCCATTAACAATGTCAAGGATCCCGGCTCCCTGACGCGAGCCTTGCACAATTGCTGTCGCCTCAAAGCCAAGTTCGACGAGAAGGCCCGTGCAAACTTAGATGCTGTGGATGAGCTGGTTGGAAAGGCTTCGTCGGCCTCGTGGGCTCCACAGAGATTCGACAGCATACTATCGGCTGTCAAGAAGATAGTTTTGAACTTGGATAGTGTTCTGGAACTTCTCGTGGAGACGGCTTCCTTCCAAAACTGCCAGCAAGAGTGGGCTACCAAGCTACTGGCGGCGCCTTGCCTGCCAAACCGATGTTCCAACATGTGTTAGAGAACCTTTTCCTGCCATGGCTGCAGGTGTTTACGGCTCCAAATATCAGGGCTTTGGCCCTGCTGACGGAGTGGTTGAGTCTTTGCTCCCGCTACGTTCATCTGTACGACAAGGACCCTGTCAAGGCCTCCTCGCCGACGGCTTGCATCGGCAACATCGCCCGATGCTCCTCCCTGGCCGATCTTCTGAAAAAGGACACCCTGTGCCCCGCATGGCTCCCGGTTGCATCTTGGGGTTTCTAAGCCGTGACTGCTGCAGGAGTTGAACGACATGTTCGAGCTGAAGAGCCTTTCCGGGCAGGCCCAGGTACCTCATGTCCTCAACCCCAAGTACACTGCTGGCTATGTTTCTATAGCCGAGCGAGCGATGAGGTTCAGCTTCCCGGCTATGGGATTGGTTCGTTCTTGTCCGTTGCTTCCGATTGCATCGCTTTGCCAGGTTCGGAGCGAGCAACTATTGAACACGGCCGTCTGCTGCAGCACTATGCAGGCACTGGCATAAGACTCAGCCTCTGATCACGTTTTGGCTTTATCGTACGTGGATTCGACAGGCCACGACGAGAGCAACTTCAAGGAGGACCTGTGCAAAGAATTGGGTAGTATTCATAATATTTCCCACGTCTTCGTCCAGAGCATCGCAGTTTGGCACACCACCGGACTGGCGGGCAGCTTGTGCCCCTTTGATGTGCTGGAGTGGTGCAAGAAGCGGAAAGATGACTGCCTGCCCCTAGCTTGCGCCAGAGTACAGTTCGCCTCTGTAGGTTATGTTGTGCCCCGCATTGAATCGTTGATTGTCTTCCAAGGAAAGACTGCTTCGGCCCGTTGGCGGAAATGCTGCAGGTGGATGCTGCCCAACTGCAGACTGAATTTCTCCTCGCTCGGCCGACCGCTTTGCATTTGGCGAGGTGGGCAAGCTAATCGGAACATTTCTCCTCGGCACTTACACATGCTTGCACAGGGCTGGCAATTGTGATTACTGGCCTCAAACTATGAGCCACTGGGGGTCCCGGCTCCCGGTGCTTTGCAAAGTTGCTCTGGCCTTATCTTCTCTTCCAAGTCTGCAAAGGCTGTGCTGGACCTGTTGGATATAAGATCACTATCACGGTGTTCAGGTTCGCTGTTTGCTTTGCATCTTCGACTCGACCTCTGCCGTCGAAAGCGGCTTCTCCACCTATCGGCTTTTGACTTCGGGGGTCAAGGGCTCCATCACAGAGGCCCATCGCGATTCCTACATGAAGGTGTTCTGTGACTCACCTTTGCCGCATGAGACTCTCGTCTGCCACGCCGCATTCTACTAGGCATTACTCTGTGTCGTATTGCTAAGGATAGCAAAGCCAACCGGGGCTGGCCAATGCTACGAAGCCACGCCCTTTTGCAGCCGTGTCCTCCACACCTACCGTCGTCTGCACGGCGGCCAGGGGAAGAACACGAAGTCTAAGGATCTCCCCCGTCGGCTCATGAAGTCACGACTGCGATCAACAGGCATGAACGCCTTCGATCGTCGCAGAAGCGGTGAGGTGGCAGCTCTGGCGGACGAGCTCTCCAAGCCTTTGGAAGCTCGTGAGGTCGAAACCATGGTGGCCCTGGACACCGTGGCGCAGCAGTCAGCCCAGGACTGTGTCTGCACTGTTTTTGTCCTGCGTGTCCTGCTTCGACCGAATGCTTGGTGCAACCTCGTTCATGGCAGGATCGTGCTTCGCAGAAGCAGGTTGATGTCCTCCTTGCCCTCAAGAAGAAAGCCCGCGAAAGGCAGCAGGCTTTCATTCACGGCCCGCATCACGAAGGTGCTTCCAAGCTTAAGGAGCTCGAGCAGCAAGTTCTTCGGAATGCCGAGCAGTTGTCCCAAATGGAGCGGCGACAGATGGCCCGGCACAGCAAGTCGTTGGAGCCGGGGCCGACTTGCATTGTGATTCTGGGTGACAGTCCAGAGGAGAAGCAAGCTCTCAAGAGGCGAATCCTGCAGGTGTGTAGGGCCCGACGAGACATTGTCATCCACGGCTGCACTTCCTTCTTGAGCGAGTTGCATAAGCCTGCTTTCTACGAACATCTGCCCGCTCAGATCGTTTACCTGTGCTGCGAATCTAAGACTCTGCATTGGCTGACGGACCCTGTCCTCGACGTGACTGCCGAGCCTGATGATAAGGACAAGAAGAACTGCCACATCATCTTGGCCACCCGGCTCTTGGGCGGTTATGTCTGTGGCACAAGCTGGTTGGATTGCTTTCCCGGCAATGACTCCGGACAGCCACTGCCAGCCTCTTGACTGGGACAGTGCTGTGCTGCTCGCTGTCCTTGCTTGCTTGCATTTTGGTAGTCTGCCAGGCTCCCATTTTGCAGCTCCGTGCGGCTGCTCTGAGCCCACACCAAATCTACCTGGGAAAGCAGATGCCGGATTGGGTCGGCCAGTTCTGGGCGCGACTGCACCGAGGTCTTGTGGACAGTCGAATTGGTACAAATGTCTCCATGGTTTTGCGGGACAAGAAGAAGAAGCAGCTGATTCTCGCCTGCATTCAATCCTGAAGCAGCAGCCGAAAGAATATTAAAAGTGTTTACTTTCTTTCCTAAACCCAGAACTTGTCGGAAATGCCACTCCGCGCCGGACCCTCCCCAGCGACGCCGGGTCAGTGACCCACTGTCGGAGGAGACCATCCGGGCCGGAGCCGCTGTAGCGACAAGAACTTCGTAAGACTAAGCCTTATATAGCGATTGTTGTCGGACATGCCACTCCGCGCCGGACCCTCCCCAGCGACGCCGGGTCAGTGACCCACTGTCGGAAACCGGCATACGGCCCGGAACCAGTGTAGCGACAGGAATGGGGTTTTCAGAATACTTTCTTTTTGACCCGGATTTGCCAAGGAGGAAGCGGACCATGATCGTGGTCCCGGATGCTTCGCCGGGAATTCGGCGAAACCTGGTCAAGCACAAGATTCCTGGACGATTGGTTTCCGCGCAGGACTGCCTCCTGCAGTTGAGCCAGCCTCTTGTCCCAACATTGGTGTCCCCTTACGGAATTCCGCAAAGGTTGTGCATGTTGCTTTGCTTGCCCAGGTGGATCTGAGATCTTTTCTTGTGTGGGCCTTTTGTACAGCTCTGATGGGGCGAAAGATCCTGTGCTTGGATCGTGACGGGGAATGATTCGGGGCTTTCTTTACGGGGCTTTTATCTTCAGCCCGACTGCCAGTCATCAGTCGGGATGCGGAGTTTCGGCCTGAACAACTCCGGTCGCTGACTTGCAAAATGGATCCGCGGCAACCTTGGCATTCAAGTTCAACCTGGCCTGTGCAATCCGAAATCCTGTGTGCAGGCATCATCTCGCTTGATGCTGACCGTAGGGTTTCAGGACTCAAGTTTTCCTTGTGGGCATGGCGCCCCGTCGCAAGTCGACTCCGAAAGCCTCGCCGGCCAAGTCTCTGAGTGGAGACCCGGTTGTTGTGGAAGAGTATGCTAAGGCCTGGGATACGGTGACCTCGGCTATTGACTCTCTGAAGAGCAGTGGGCAATGGGTGTCGAGCGGCACTGCCCCGGGAACTGTGCCCGGCTTGACAAATGTTTTGCCGAATGACTTCAAGGGCAGGGATGTCCCCGTGGACACGCCGAATCTGAGCAGCAATAGCTCTTGCCGCCTGGCTGTGTGGTGTCGTGCACACACGGAGAGTTCTTCGTTAGGTCTCTTCACTGTGTCGGTGTTTTGGGAGACCTCGAGCTTCAGACCCCGGGCTTCGCTGCAATGTCTATCTCAAGATCTGACATCGCTGGTGCCCGCGAGTACTGGTACGGTGGCTCCTCCGAGCCGCGCGAGCTTCCGATGCTGACAGTTTTGTACACGGATGAAACTGAGAAGCGACTCGTCCAATGCTAGGTTTGCTGAGTGTGGACTCATTTGATGTTATTCTTCCTATGCCAAGGGGGGGCTTCCATCCGGTCACCCGCTTGGCGATGATTGCAGCCTTCATCGCCGAATGGGCTTCGGCGACAACGGACTCCCGACGCGAGCAGTTCAAGAAGCTTGCCGGTGTGCCTCGGTTTGCATTGATCGCTTGTGGCACTTGGGCAGCTCCCGCATCTAAAGAATCTAAGGCCATCACGATGCGCCTGTTGAAAGGCGCGGGCGACAGCGCCGATTGCTTTTGGCAGGTCCACGCGTTTGGCGAAGACGCTGAAAAAATCGCGCAAGAGGAGAGCAATGCATACTGCATGCGTCTCTCAGACAGATTGCATCAGCGACTCGGTTGAGATTGGGGGACGACTCACTGGACTGCTTCTCTCTCCATGGCGTAACTTAACTAACACTGAGATTGCAGAGCCTCCTCAAGAGCGTCGGAAAGCGCCACACGGCAGAGGACATCTTTCAGGAGTTCCAGGTGGGTTTGGCTTGTGTTAACTTGTGTTACCCGTGAAGTCGTGAAGCCCGCACGCCCAATCACAGGCGAAAGTGGCGGACGGCAAGCTCAGGTATGCCAGTGAAGAGAGCAAGGCTGGGAAATTACGACTTTTAGCAGCTGCTTCGTTGCCAGATCCGCAGCGCTGACATGATCTCCAAGCTCCTCCGCTTACGCGAACGCTCCACTCAGGCGGGGGTATGGGAGACGATGCGGGAAATGCAACGGTCGACCGAGGGTCCGACGTGGATGTCCAAGTGGGCGACTGCTGTGAGGGTTCTCGGGCCATCCAAAGATCCTCAGGATTTCGCCTATATGATCAGGCAGTTGGCGAAGGGGTTTCACTGCCCGGAGGAGGTGAAGGATAGCTTCGTCAAGCCTGTGGGTCAAATGACGAGGGATCAGGTGGAATCGACGTGCAAAGCATTGCTGGCGACAAGGCGCATCATGGCCCGAGTGGCCAAGGAGTGCGGCGGGGACCCAGCCGCCGGACAGGATAAGTCTTGGACGGATGCACTGTCAAAAATGCTGCTGCCCGATGCGGTTCCTGTGACGAAGGTTGATGGCAGCCATGTGTCGGATGCTTTCCTCGGAAAGAGCGACAGCCAGGTGGCTGTCCTGCAGCTGCTGCAGGACCTGAACGATCTCAAACACTTGAAGGTCGTGCAAGCCGTGTCGGGCTATGTGGACAATGCGAGTTCACAATGGTCCGACTCGCGAGTTCAGGCCATCGTCCGTGAGGCGGTTGCAGAGTCGCCGGGCAGCAACAGCAGCAGCAAGGGCACATCTCAGACTTCATGCCTGCCTCATTCCTTGCTTCCCAGGTACGGCAAAGAATTCCTGCGACCCACCGCAGTGACCGAGCCGGAGCCTGCACCGGCACCGGTGCCGGATGAAGGGCCTCCGGCCTGGAACGATGGTGATATGATTGAGCCCCCGGCAACTCCGGGATCCGTTGACCCGGGGGCAATGCACAAGCAGCTTCGGAATGAAGTTGACAGGGAGGCGCGAAGGCATGTCAAGTACCTGGTGGTGAACGACGTGTTGGATAGCAACGGTGTCGCCACCACGCTGACCCCGAGCCTTGGTAACGGAAGCTTGCTGCCACGGCTCTTTGTTTCGGCATTGCGCCCCTAAACTAAGGATGTTGGATTTGCTGAAGCCCCGCAACAACAATGGGGAGCATCGTGTTTGGGTGTTTGACAGTGCGATGTTGATGGAAACCGGAGCTGCATGGAGCTCCACACACAACGTGTACAGCCGAACCCCTCCCTTTGCCAAGGCTGCTTTGTGGCTGTGCCGCACATCGACGAGAGTAGCACATTTGCCAACCTCTAGACTCTAACTGTCATAGCCAAGGCAGACTGCTTTGAAGTTGTTCGCCCAGACGGCTTCGGATGCCCAAGACATGTTCTTGGCCTTTGATTCTGGATCATCGAAAGGTGCAGCCGAAATTCGGCGATCTTTCAACAAGCTACAGAAGCAGCATGAGACTTGGGGCCAGACCTCCTGGTCACTGTTGCCCTCGAGCCAGCTCGACTTGGAAGCCAGGGCGAAATTCAGATCGAGCGAGCTACTCGGCTGGAACGTCGCAATGCTTGGGATCATCCAATGACTCCCCTTCCCAGGAACCCCGCCGATGCCAGAGGCGGCAGAAAGCGCAAACGAGCCGCGAGCCTCGCGAGTCTCGGGGGCCCCGAAGGGGCATTCGTGCTCAGTGCCGGCTTCACTTTGCCAGCTCGCGAGCTTCGTTTCTTGTCGATGGCCGCCGGGACACTTTGGGGGCCACGTCGTTAGCCTTGTGTCCTTGTGTCGTAAAGGACGTAGATGAACATAAAACCTGGCAGGACCGACTCCTCCTACCCGTACCTGCACACGCCTTTGCTACTCCCGGCCGATCTGCAACCGATGGTTACCCGAGAGGACAAGGAGCAGGCGGATTTGTGTGCAGATTAGTTCAACTATATGGTGCAATCCTCCTGCCTGCAAGGTGCTTCTGTCGCAATCAGACGAAGCAAACAAAGACAAAGTCGTCCACGACCAGCCTCCTCTGCAGCACTTTGTCGATGATATTCGCAAGGAGGCCTCTTCAGACTTGATGTGTCTTTGGAGTTTTGGACTCCAGCTGCCGTCATGACTCGCTGCCTTCAGGACCTCGTTCCACTGCATTACTGGAGCAAGCACGAGACGCTCTACAAGGAATTGATGCACCTGTTGCAGGCCTGCTGCCTCGTTTTGTGGAGCCCGGATCCAACACTGCTGCTGGCTGCAGTTGCCACTTAGCAGATCTTTGGCCGCTTTCCACTTGTGTGCTGCAGAAACTGATGCCGGCCTGGGGCCGTTCACACACCGAGGAGAGCAGGGTTTGCGCCATTGTTCTATGCCGCTCCACGAGACACATGCAGATCTTGGACGAGTACTTGAAAGCAGCGATTCTTGTGAAGATGCTGGACCCGAGCTGCAGCCGCTTCTACCAGCAAGGGCAGGCGATGTCAGTGCCAGCCGCCCCGTCGCCACCGGCGCCAGCGATCGTTGCAGCACCGCGACATGACAATGATGAAGATCAGCCGGCTCAAGAAGAGGAGGACGCGGAGGAACCGATGGATGACTTGACGGAGATGCTGCAAAACATTGACTCGCCAGTGTGAACACAATTTTAAGGACCGTGCAGCGAGAGGTTTTGTGTCAGACATAGTGTTACAGATAAATTCTGCCAACAAGACAGCCGTTCTGCTGCAAGGGCCCAGGCTTTCGATGCAGGAGGCTGCCATTGGCACTCCCGCTGCACAGACAGGCCGATGATGGAAATTGCTGACAGATTCACTTTACGAGCACTGCCACATGGCTTGCATGGCCCTTGACAGTATCAGAGCTTCGATCATGTGGAAGAGCAGCCATTTAAGATTCCGGGCCCTCTGGCGGCTTTCAGTTTTGTTTTCGAGTGCTGGCATGTCGCAGAAAGATGCCGATGCTGTTGCCATGGTCCAGACGGGGGCCGCTCCGAGACGCCGGAACCTTATAGAACCAACGTAGTGCATCTAAACCTTGCCAGCACATGGTTGAAGCTGCAGGCTCGAAGGTCGTCGACATGTCGGCTGACCGGCTGAAGACCATCCTTTCCCTGAAGCAGGTGCTCCGGAACTTTGTGTCAAGCACCTGAAGTCAAGATCTCAATTGGCAGTCCGATCCCGAAACACTCTGGAGCTTGTGTGACCAGCTTGAGCCGTGCGAGCCTCAAAGCTTCATAATAAGATGTGTGAGCCAAACGTAGATTGTCTCTGAAAGCAAGGTCTGCTCCCGCCAAGAAGAAGAGCTCTTCCAAAAGTTTGCCCCGTGCTTACATGCTGATTTCTCACATCCTCGCGAGATTTCTCACTGTATGGAAAAGTTGACTCCCAGGTTCTGTGGTGCGAAGGAAACGGCTTCCAAGCCGGAAGCGAAGCAGGAGGATGGCAAGGCGGCGGAGCCATCCGTCCGCCACGACTCGAAGGGCCCGGCGAGCCCTGCCAAAAAAGGGCGAACAGCCCAGGTCAAGTTGCAGGAGCGAGAGAAGAAGGCTGGGAAGCCTGACAAGGCGCAGACGACAAAGCACTACATGTTTTGCTCACTGCTCTCGAAGCCGAACATGCAGCAAGCCGTGAATTGCTCACTGCTCTCGAAGCCGAACATGCAGCAAGCCGTGAATCACATGCTGAAGCTGATGAATCCCAGTGTGACGTACACGTCTTTCGAGATCGTGTATGCCCCGCAACGGGGCGCGGCCGGGATGCAAGCTGGCATTCCCTCGGCTTCACGGCCCATGTACGTGGTGGCTCCAATGCCCGCCGCCGAAGGCCAGGAAATGCTTCATTCGCCTAGAACAGTGCCATCTGATGCTCAGCTGTACATGTTTCATGTGGCAGGAGCCGCAGGGCCGCAGCTATGGACCTACCTCTCCTCCTGCAAGGACTCTGCTGTGAACACTCTGAATGCTGGCAAAATGGTGACGGTCGACAGCCGGCTGCCGTGGACATGGGTGGCGGCCAATTCCCCTCGGCTTTGCATCATCTTACGCCATGCCGGTGCAGGTGCTTTCAAGATGGGGGAGGTGCAGAGGGCCCTCGCTGGTGCCGGCTTCCCGAAGGCCGGTCCAGATGTGAGGATGATGACGCTTCCAGAGGCAATGGCATCCGGCCCCAGGCTCATGAAACTCGGTGGCATTAACTAGCTAAACTTTGCAGGTTTCTCACCTCATCGTCTGGAACTCCTTGCGACTCTAACTTGCAGGCTTTTGGCTGCCAAGAAGTACAAAGCGGACCATCCATCGCCCATCAAGGCGGGATTGGGGGCCCCACGTGCTTGATAAGATGCTGCCTGTTGTGCCCGGCAGGACCTTCAGAGCAAATACTGCTCCAATTGCACTTGCGACTCGTGCAATGATATCCGTCGCAAGCACGCTGCTCGCTTGGCACAGTGAGATCGCAAGCAGGCCAGTTGGCAAATATGTTAAAGAGACAGCTCTAAAATACAAGAACGGGGTTTTCACGGCTTCAGCTTGCATCTCAGATTTTGACACGGCAGTGGCAGCCCCGAGGGAGTGAAAACAGGAGCCATTTCTATGCCGGAGTCTCATGTTTCTTGCATGGCAGTCCACTCAGTCGCACGCTCAATCAATACAGCGCTGTCAGTTTTCCATGACGACGGCCTGGCACACTCTAGCAGCAACCAGCCCATGTCTGCAGCAACAACCAAAGTGCCGTGTGCGGCCGCCCATCATATGAAAAAAACGGCTGTCAACAAATCATATTCGCATCATCTCAGCTTTTCGTGCTGGAGTCACATGGCTGCCGAGTCCAGTTTCATCAGAGCACTGGCCTCAAATTCCGCAGCGTGGTGTGTGATGTCAAGTCGAATGGCGGGTGTTGCTGCCGAGGCCTGAAGGTTGCGACTGTCTGAAGCTTTTCTTCTGGAGCTGGAAGCTTAGCACGTGATTGATTCTGCCCGCAAGATGCTTTCGTTTATGCTCCATGAATCCATGACTGTAGGAGCACGAGTCCATCAACCTTAGTCTTCATTGAGATGCTTCTCAAGTCCTGTGCGATGGTGCCTTCCAATCCACCAGTCTAGATCTTGGAGCCCTGTTCGAGACGATTTGGGGTTTCGATTTGACGGATGTAATGGGTCCGACGGACCCAAGGCGGGGACCGATGGTCCCTCAAACTTTCCCCGTGAAGTGTGCTTCATTTCAACCAGAAGCAAAAGCCACGGAGAGCGGGCGGTTATCATCCAATGGGTTTCTAGCTGATTTTGACGCAGGGCACAGCCGGGCAGGGAGCAGGGGACAACCACAATTGGGAGGACAACCACAATTGGGAGGGTCTATTGGAGACAACCACAATTGGATTTCGGAGGACCCTTGAGGCCAGTCCCCAATTGTGGTTGCCCTCCCAATTCTTTCAAGGCGGAGCCTGCAACAAAAATTTTTTTTCCTTTCAAACACCTTTAAAAGGCGTGGATTTGTCGTATCCGAGCGTTCGGCGCGAACGGTCGTTGTTTTTCAGGTCCATTTCGAATCCCCTGAACGACGCTGTTTTTGAAGAATTGGTCGGGCAACCACAATTGGCTGAGGAATTGTGGTCGTCCAACGCCCAAAATGCTGGGTTCCACTCCTGACCTCCTTGGACTGTGTTAATGGGAACGCATTGAATCTTGCTGATCTCGCTCATTGGACTTGACCCAGAGAACTGTGCTATGTTTGAAAACAAGGCATTGGCTGAGACGTGCCGAGTCGTCCGCCTCAAAGGCGGGACTGAGAGCAACATGTTTGGATAGTTTTACGCGATGGTGCTGCCTGTAACTTGGGCAGGACTTGCCATTCGGCTGTGATTGCCCTGCTGAGACTCGTCAAGGCACTTGATTAAAGTGGCAGTTCAAGTGATTCTGATGAAACAGCAGGGAATCTACAAGTTTAAACTTGATGTCCGGTTTAGCACCGTACTCTGCAATCCTGGGCCTTAAGACCCTTAAGGTTTCAATTCTCATGGCATGCAGAAAGACACTGAGGAAGTTGGAATGCCGTCTTTTCCATACACCTGCCCGAAGTGCGGGTGCAAGAGCCGAAGGAAAGGCATCCCATGTAGCAAGTGCCACTTGATTGCAACGACTTGCACACAAACCACTGAAGCCTGTTGTTCTCCTAAATTCCAAGGCGAGCCGGGCAATCAGAGAGGGCGCAATCTGGATGAGCATCGCAAGATGCAGACAGGCAACAGCTGGGTTTTGAGAGACAAGCGGGTCATGCCGACGGATAGCACAGAGTTGGCGGAGTCGGCCACCATGAAGGGCATCAAGCTGCAGAAGATTCACGACTATGGTATTCTGCTGCCGCATGACCTCAAGGATGGCACGCCGATGAGTTTCCAGCAAGGCAGAATCACGGCTGCAGTCAGGCGGCTTGGGTGCTTTGTTTTGTGCTGCCGCTTGCTGCAAATAAGGTCTCTGCAGCGATCTTGCCGTCCTCTTGAAAAAGAAGGAGAAGGAGGAGAAGAAGGAGGCCGGCTTCACATCACCTCAAATCAGTCAGGTCATTCCAACCAAATCCGAAGGTCCCGCTCGCCGTGCAGCTCTTCTGCACTTCCTTTAGACGGCACTTCAGCTGCACGGGCAGACACAGGGCAGAGCCGGAATCCAGCCGGAGCCATCTTTGATCATCAGCAAGACACAATCCGAGGCAAGACGCCGAGCCGGCGAGCGGCAGCGGCGGCACCGGCGGCGGCTGATCAGCTCGTCGGCCGGGCGAAAAGAGGGGACCGCTGTGCATGCATCGGCAGGTAGCAACACACACACCTAAATCCCAGACCCCCAACACAAACCATTGAAAAAGTATTGACTTTTTTCACCCGGAACACTTAAAAGCCTAGTATTGGGCTTAAGAGGATCTTACCTACTAATATTTTTCAAAGGCTTTAAAAGCCCCTCCTAGATAAGGATCCTACTATGTAGGGTACTATATCAGGGTCCCCAATCTTCGGAAACCCCAATATGGACCCTTAAACCCTAAACCTTAGGGTTGAACTTTAAACCTTGAGACGAACGTGCTGAACACGATGCTGAGGCCACAATGCCCACCTCGGGCTTCGGCCATCTCTGAAAAATCTGGGTTTAAGCGCAAAGCTACCGGTCTATGATTTAATCTTAGGCTCTAAGTGCTCATATCCTAAGTCTTTTGGGCCCAAAGACCATACTATATAAGGCTTTTGGAGTTATTTTGAGCCTTAGGGTTAGAGTTCACCTTGGGGTCGCAACCACAGCAGCAATAAAGGGATTTCAGAAGGGAATTGCCTCTGGTTCATCCGGAGCAGCACTGGAATGCTTCTACCCGTGACAACAAGCTACTAGGATGCCCAGTAGTACCCTTATTCCCTTTTTGTAGTCCTAGGTTCCTGAGAAAGTTACCCAATACCAAAAAGAGAGGCCTTTTTATTCTTAGGTTACTGGGTATCCTAGGGTATCTTAGGGGCGCTTGGGATCTCGATTGATGGCCTCCAGTTGTCAACAGCTTTTGTCGCCGCGCATTGGATTGTCGTCTGTTGCGAGGGCGGCCAAAAATTCAAATGGTTTTGTCACTTCGTCAGCGTGGTTACCATCATCAGCAGCAGAATCGACATCATCATCGCCAACATCTTCACCACCAAAAGCACACGCATCATCGCCATGGTCATGTGACCACCATCCTTAACACATCGTCATCCTCATCATCATCATCATCATCATCCTAATCATCATCACGATCATGAGCACCGTTATCATGAGCGCAGTCCTCAGACTGGCACGAAATCTACAAATTGCAGCTTGCATGTCAGCTAGTATAGGGGCCTTAATAATTACCTATGCTATTTTGGGGGGCTTCTTATTATATTTATAGTATAATGGGCCTCAAAACCCCAGTCGTCTAGTTATTAAGGCCTCTGTATAATATTAGCAAAGCAACGCATCCTGTTTAGCTGTAGGATTTACTATCCCGGCTATTGAGTTCTGGCAGGACTACGGGGTGTCCGTGATCACACCTCCGAAGGCCATGCATGCGGTTTCTAAACCCTAAACCCTAAACCGTGGCGGTTTAGGGTTTAGGGTGTCGATGCACAAGCGGTCGTATGGCTGGATCAAGGTAGTTTGACGGGCGTGAGGTACACCACCTGCACACTTTCTAGTTTCGGGTATTGCTGTCCGTCCGGGGTATTGGGGCTAAGCAATCTGGTCATCGTTGCTACCAGACCCCTAGCCGTAGACTCGCCTATCAACGAGCGCTCGTGCCTTTAGTTCTGCATCGACTTCTGCTTGCAGTACCGACACCACCACGATCATGATTTCTAATCCCGCTACTGTTACTGCTCCTACTCATACTGCAACCACTACTGTTTCGGCCAGCTGTCAAACTGACAAACAGGTCAAACCTGCAGTCAAGTCCAAGCAACGTATTTGCGTTCTGCCAGTATTCTGTTCGTTACATGTGCATTCCGCGTACGTTTGCGAGGGTTCTTTGGCATTATCTTTTGAGTAAGCTTTAGGCAAGCACAACGAAAGTGTTCAGAATCAGATGGCAAACGGGCCAGTGCAGCACCATCTCAAGTTATTCAGGGTTGTATTGCCAACCATTTTTCTTGGAGGAGCTAAGGAGCCAGGGATGATGATAATCCCTATTGATTAAGGAGCCAAAGAGCCAAAACCATGGTTGTATAGTGAGGATCACTGCCACATCTAAGGTCCTTTGTGCCCAGGAAGCATCGATATGACACCTGGATATAGGGCCCCTAATTTTCGGAAACTCCCATGTGACTCCTGATAAGTTCATGTGCATTAGGGGTATAATGGCATCTGTACCGTTCGCACGTGAGCACTAGTTCCATCTCACGAACATCGTCGGCCAGTTTCAAAAAAGTCATCCAGACCTGCTACAGAACGAAGCCGTTTCCGCCACTATCCTAGCCCAAAGGTCCGGCTCCAGTTGCCATTTCTGTTCAAGGAGCTTGGTCGGACTTGGACACGCAGTCATGGTGTCTGTTTGTGGCTGTTGCGATGGGCAACATTTTTCCGTGGAGGTCGTGGAAGCTCAGCAAGTGTATCCGGCCAAACACTTGGACGACTTCTCCGAAGGGGACGATCAAGTTCCCTGCGCACCCAAATCCACGACACCAAGGGCGTTCAGCAAGGAGTTGCGGCTGGAGAAGTTGCAGCAGCTGGCAGTGGATACAGAAATTGTCCGTGGTGTACCACTCCAAGTGACCTTGCGGAACTTTGGGAAGATGTGGCGGGTATCCCCACTTACTTTGTCGGAGGGGGCCCGTCAAAATCTCTGGAAGAAGTCGGTTCATATTGACAGCTTCGATGTGTTCCTCTCGCACACCTGGCATACGAAGGGAAGGTGGAAAGTCTTGAGCTTGAGGGTTTAGGGTTTAGGGTTTAGGGTTTAGGGTTTAGGGTTTAGAGCTTGCTCTTGCAATCTGGTCTGAGCATTACCCTCTTGGCTTGGGCTGTGTCTTGGTAGTGAACTTAAGGTTTCGACTCCGGGAATACTTAAAGGATCATCGGACTTAGTAACTAGGGTTATAATTAGGATAACTATACTTATAACTACTTATAACCCCAATTAAGGTCCTTCTAACCTTACTTACTAAGTCCCATGATCCTCCAAGTACATGGAACTTTTGCCTAGTGCTCATAGAAAGTATCTTGTTTGGTCCTGCTCTAAATCATGTTCTGCCTATTGTGGACTCAAGGATTCACTAACATGCTGAGGCATGTGTGGCGGTGATGTTCTTCCTGTCCAGCAGCTGCCTCCTCCCCCTGCCCTTCGAGTACATCTCTAGGCTTGTTTGGGGTGTACGGTGTATGCTTCGGGGATTTATCCTGGTATTAATTAGGATCCAACATTGCCAGAATGTCAGGACAAGCGTCTTGTTCGAGGATTGGGCTTTCTCTCTCTCTCTCTCTCTCTCTCTCTCTCTCTCTCTCTATCTCTCTCTTTTTCAATGTGGCGCGTGCTTTTCTGTGATGGGTCATAGCGTTTGACACTGGTCGAGGCACCAGTGCTTGCAACTGTTGTGAAGTGTTGTAGCCGGTATGTTGTTTGGTGAATGTTGCTAACCTGCCAAGATGGCCAGAATTACTGGGAAGTTCATGGGTAGTTATAAGTAGGGTTATAAGTTTCCCTAATATGGGTTATAAGTATAGTTACCCTACTTATGTAACTACCCATTAACCTCCAAGTATGTTTGTTGATGCTGTCAGCGTGCGCAATTCAGGGGCATCTATATAGTTCCTCGTAGCCACCTGGCTCGTCGCACGGGGCCGAAATTCTCCGACCGAGACTTCTAGCACCATTTACCCCTAACTAAGCCTACTTGGAGGATCATGGGACTTAGTAAGCAAGGTTATAAGTACCTTAATTGGGGTTATAAGTAGTTATAAGTATGGTTACCCTGAGAATTTCCCTAATTACTAAGTCCCAGGATCCTCTATGCACGGCCCTAAACCCTAAACCTCATAGATCCCTTTAAGGAACCACTATAGATCCCTTTAAAGGGAGCCCTTTAAGGAAACCTAGATCCTTTAAGTATGTGCGGAAATCCAGACATTCAGGTTTGGCGACGGTGCAACTCTCTTCTGTGGGCCTTGGTGCTTGTTGGGCTCCTGGGTTGTCCTTTTGGACTAGGTTGGATTTTGGGGCATTTTGTATTTTCCTTATTTGGGTTTATAAGGGGCCCTATGTATAAATATTTCATGGTGTTTAAAGGCCTACCCAGTGGATCTTTTCTAATTTCGCCTCAATAGTTTGTAGAGAACCATAATAGTAAATAGTGTTCAAGCGGCTTAAAGGACAACTCAGATGATTAACAATGATCCAACCTTAAACCCTAAACTCTAAACCATAATAGTAAATAATTTTCATTGAGCTTACTTAAAGGATCATGGGACTTATAACCCCAATTAAGGTACTTATAACCTTACTTACTAGGTCCCATGATCCTTTAAGTAACCCTAAAACCCTTCTTATAGAGCCCTTATGGATCCCTGGCATCAAAAGGGAGCTCACAAGAAACATAATAGTAAATAATTTTCAAAGAGCCTAAAGGACAACTCAGGCTCTTTCATCGGCCATGGTGCGGGGCTGATGCTTGCACCCTATGCCCCCAGGCTTTGCTCCCAGGCGCCGATGTGCTCCTCGTCGGGGTGGGAGGCATTTCGGTTTGTAGGGTTTAGAGTTTAGGGTCGATTAGGGTTTAGAGCTTAGGGTTTGAGAGTTTAGGTCAAAGGAGTCCTGTTGTTTTAGGGCTTGCAGAGTTTATAGGATTTAGGGTTTAGGATTTTAATATTTAGGCTTTCAGCGCTTAGGCTTTCTGGGTAATTCAGAAGCCTCTTGAGGGCAAGGACAGGATTGAGCAGGATGTCTTTGGGCTTGGTCGGACGCATATAGCAGGCTTTGCAAGAGGAGTCTTCGGTGCGCAAGACGAACATGTTACCTGCTTTGCGTTGCTGATGGCTACGTCACGTGAGCACAACAACTGCAATGCTTCTGCTTTGAAACATGTCCAGTATAGTCATTGTTTTCTTGCTGTCGCAGCTGTTGTTGCTTCAGTTGCCGTTGCTGTCATCGTCTTCATCTTGGCCCAACAAAAAAGCAAGACTTCAAGAAGAGCCTGAACTTGCCGAAGCAGCGAAAACTGAAGCTGTGCAGGAGCGCTAGCAACAGAAGAAGCACCAGTTCCGTAGCGTTAGCACAAGTCACTAGCAGCAGGAGCAGCAGCAAGCGGTTTTGGTGCTGGAGGAGGTAGTAGAAGGACAGAAGAACTAGCAGAATGAGTAAGTCGAAATTATGCTGTAGCAAACCCCAACCCGAAACCCCACTCTATTGAGGTTATCCCTAAACTCCTACACCTTCAACTTCAACCAACATAACATAGGGACAGGGACCCTAAGCCCGTACGAACCGTAAGCTACAAGGTTTCCTCGATGTTGCGAGCATCAACCAGACAGACAAAGAGCTCATGGAGACTTGGACCAGCTTGGACCGAGTGGTCCTGAGTGTTTTAGGGGTCACTAGTAAAATAATATAGTCTAATGATATGATGTAATATATCATAATTCAAAGGTTTTAGGGTTAAGGGTTTGGAGCTCGGTTCGAGGGTTTGGTTTTGGAGGTACGGAGGGGTTATCTGTTGGGTCTGGAGTTGCGGGGCTGTACGGAGATAGTCTTCTTTACCCTAAGCCCCTAAACCTTAACCCCTAAACCGATGCCCCTAAATGCCAAATCCTTAGACCCTTTATGACACATGTCCCGTTGTTGTTGAGAGAGCTTTCGCTCCTGGTGTACTCATAGTTCCACTTGCTGCCTTTTCCTGCCAGGACTGTAACCCAAACCCTAAACCCTAAACCCTCCACTCTAAACCGAGGAGCGCGGCGTATATGGCATAGGCGGATTTCTCTGCAAGTCCAAGGACCAAGAATCTGAAGCTATCTTCGGAAGGGAAGCGTAGCGAGCGAGGAGGGTATACGTTGGGTACTGCCCCCGATCAGTAACAGTTGGATAGTACTCGTAATATAGATATTAGGACCTTAATAGTAGCCCGATTATAGACTGTTACTGAATGGGGTCAGTACCCAAGGTATACTGTTTAAAGGTTTACCGGGACCCGAAAAACGCCGACCCTTGTAAGGGCTTATAAGGAAATCATAAAGAGGAACCCTACAAAGGTAGATTGTTTGGAGGTGAGGCAGGGTTTAGTTCTGAGGTCTAGAGTGATAGAAGGAAGAAGCAAGAATGTATAGGGACCTCTGCCACTTTCTCGCTTGTGGCAGGAGTTGCGCGTCTTGTGGAGCACTCCCTACTTTACGAGGTTGTGGAGTCTGGGCGGATTTGTAGGTTTTCTTGCGAACAAACGAGATATTATAGGGTAGCACACAAAACCTTCCTCTGCTGCATACCACATCCAAGGTGTGTCTTTGAAGTGGCTGCATACCGCACCGCGAATCCAGCTGGGCGGCTGGCATTCTGCCCCCTGTTTGTGGAGGTTGGCTCCTTCATGTGCGTTGCTGGCGCATACTTTAGCTGCTTCCTGTTCATGTTTTCAATACCGTTGGGAAGCGTGGTCGCACCTATGGCTTCCTATGCCATCGCCCTTGTTCCAGTCTATGTGCTCATGCACCAGCTGAGACAGAACGCAGCTGTCAAATACCAGCTCTTGCATGACTTGAAACAGTTTGACCTCAACGCCGTGCAGAGTCACAGTGATTTTGACCGCAAGTTTGTCTTCACTGCCATCCAAGCTTGGTATGGAAGCACCGAAGCTTTCACCCAATTTGTGCAGGGCCCTCTCCGCGAAGAGTTGTTGGAGTCTGGACAGTCTACCATTCCACTCAAGTACATCTTGCTGCCCTTGGGAGTCATGGTTTCGCTGTCTTTGGATTGGGTGGATTGGGTGGTGTCACTACTTTGTGCCCAAGTCTCCGCATACTCGGCTGTGCTTGGAACTGTTTGACAAAACGTCTTATATTCGGCCCCTTCAATCCTGAACCATAGATCTTCAGTCATAACATATGGGCGGTTGTAAATATTAGGGTCCCTTGTTGGGTCCTTATTTTACGTATTACGGCACCATATATTTAAAAAAGGGCCCATAATTTTGAAATTTGACAACCACCCCTACATCGAAACCATAGGTCTAAGGCTTGGGAGCCAACGAGTTCCGTGTTCGTTCAAGCCAAGAGCAACTGAGGGGCTGAGTAGGTAAAGGATCATGGGACTTAGTAACTCGGGCTATAATTATGGTAACTATACTTATAACTACTTATAATACCCCCAATTAAGGTACTTATAACCTTACTTACCAAGTCCCATGACCCTCCAAGTAGGCAACCTTTTAACCTTTTGGGGCTCATATAAACCTACTATAATTCGAAAAGTCAACCTTTTCTGGGCTAGGGCACTCAGCCCCTAAAACAAAAACCCTATTATAAACCCCTAAACCCTAAACCTCACAACAAGGTAGATTGGCTCTTGGTTGACCTTTTGACCAGTTGCTTTGGCTTCAGCATTTGCTGGTTCTTCGTGTCCTTCAAAGTTGCCGTTTACCTTTGCGATCGTTTCTTTGCCATAGTTGGGTAACATTTTGCTTTTAATTTGGGGTATTCAAACCCAATAAGGAATAAAAGCTTCAATCTTTGATCCTATCCCGACCATGAACTAGGTTTTGCCACGCCACTGTTTCTGGAGCTTTCTTGGAACGCTTTTTTTGTCGTTAGACAGCTTTAGGGACACCCTACTTAACCCTAAGAGCCCTAACCCGAGCTACTTGCAACCAAGCCGGTACCTAGTGGTATCCATTGCAGTTCTTTTTTTCTCATGTAATTAGGATCCCAGAGCGTAAAAAGTGGACTACAATGGAGGCCAACCCGGATAGCAGTCCTATAGAAATCCTTATAGATCCCTTGACAAATCCCTTTCTTAGGTCAGAAAGGAGACTACTTGGGAGGTTCATGGGTAGTTATAAGTAGGGTTATAAGTCCCCCAATATGGGTTACAAGTATAGGTACCCTACTTATAGCCCCACTGAGAATTACCCATGAACCTCCCCCGAAACCCTAAACCCTACACACCTAAACCCTAACCCTAAACACCAAAGCCCCCACAACCCTAAACCCCAAACCCTAAACCACAAAACCCCAAAACCCTAAACACCAAAGCCCATGAACCTCCAAGTGCGAGACTCTAGGTTTCCTGGCCTGCTGGACTACCTGCAGACCTTTGCCTTTTTCGCCGTCTTCGTCACTTATTTGGGGTTTAGGGGTTTAGGGTTTAGGGGTTTAGGGTTTTGGGGTTTAGGGTACCTCGCCAAGGGAAGTTCGTTAGACCCTGTTGTCTTTAGATATGTGGCCTGCAATAGGAAGCGTGAGCTTTTTTGGGGCCTGTTGGCTTAGTAGCTGAGTAGGCAACTTTAGCCTTTTGGGGCTTATATCTTCGTACCACCATTGAAAAGGTTGACCTGTTTAGGGCTAAGATACTCAAACTAAGCCCTACACCCCTGAACCCTAAACCCTAAGTTGGAGAAGAGAGGTCGCTAAACCCTACGAACCCAAAGCCCCTGAACAATAACCCCTAAAAACCCTAAACCCCTAAAACCCTTAAGAACCCTTAAGTTGGAAAACGATAGCCCCCTTTAGAACCATACTGAAAATATCAATTTCTAGAATATACTAATCCCTAAGGACCCTAATTTTGACAATCACCCAGGTCATGATGATTCTGGGCGGGAGCATGGCCTTCCAGAGCCTAGTCGGCCTGTGGAACGCACTTGGTGCCTTGGTGCCCGGAGGCCCCAATATCCCTTAAGTAAGCTAGGATGCCCAGTAGTACCCTTATTAGGGGTACCTTTAAAGGGATCTATAAGGGCTCCTTAAAAGGGTTCTATAAAGGGTTTAGGGTTTCCGAAAATTGGGGGCTAGGATGCCCAGTAGTACCCTTATTCCCTTTTTGTAGTCCTAGGTTCCTTATAAAGCTACCCAATACCAAAAAGAGAGGCCTTTTTATTCTTAGGTTACTGGGTATCCTAGGGGTACTTAGAACTACATTTTAATTGGTTATTATCATCCCTAAGACACAGCTAAAACTAAAGTTTTTGCTAGGGTTCTAAGTTCAGTATAGACTATCCCTTAACTAAGGAATATACTGTATAATATATTAGGGATCCTATCATTAAGGTATATCCCTCAATAAAGGAAGAAACCTTACATCATACTAGGGATCCTACCATGATTTAAGGCATATTCCGTAATTAAGGAATATGGAATCCTTGCTATCTTGGGGTTTCTATAATGGGTGTATAGGCTTCAGGGTTTATCGTGTTTAGGGTTGAGGGTTTTATATAATACCACTAGCTGAAGAGATGAATTGGTTTTGGGCTGGGGCGCTCAGACGCTGAGGTGCAGCTTCCACAGCTTTCTTTCTTGCCACTCTCGTGTGGCTGAAGATGTACTAAAGGCTGAGCGGTGGCTATGAACTGCATATGGAGGTTCGGAATGATTCATGACATTTTTCCGTGGGGCTCCTTATCAGAGTTGTACTATAAGATGCGCAATACTACCCTGTTGCAATTATGAAGGCCCCTACTATCAAGCGGACTGTGTACAGACTGATGGGCGTTCGCACTTCTCTGAGTCCAGCCATTCTCTGCGCTGCGCCCGCAGCCTCATGTGGGAGTTTCCGAAAATAGGGGACCCTACTAGAGTACCCTAAATAGTAGGATCCTTATTATTATAAGGGCCACAGAATATGGTACCCCTAATTTTCGGAAACTCCCATGTGCCAGACCACTCAGATGAGGTCGACTCTCCTCAAGCCTACCCTGGGGCCCCCTGAAAGCCTACGCCCAAATGGGTGGTTGTCAAAGTGAGGGTCCCTTTTTGGGTCGTTATTATAGTACGGCACCTAATCTTTGAGGCACCCAAGAAGGGACCCTAATTTTGACAACTACCCAAATCCAATGCATGTCTTTGCTTTAGGTCAAGATTGAGGATGGGGAGCAAAGGGCGAAAGTAGACGAAGACGTCAGCTGCAGCAGAGCATGCCTCTCGGAACAACAGCAGCAAGTACTTTGCACAAACACCGCAAGCGAAACAAGAATAAGATCACGACTTCTTCAACTACAACACTATTCCGGGGTTCCTTCCTGTTTTATCGTATAATGGGCCCGAAAACCCTATTCCAAGCATTAATAAGGCCCCTACCTTAGAGGATCATGGTTCAGGGTTCCGGGTTTAATGTAGGGGCCTTAATAATTAGAATGAGGTTTGGGTGCATATTATACTCTACCTGTAATACGGAACCACCAAATAATATAGGTAATTCGTAAGGCCCCGATATTAGGGTTTGTGCCACCACTTGTGAAGAGCGCAAAGGCATTCCTTCCCCTGGTGCCTACAAGCAGCTAGGTTGTTCATATATGTTAGCTTTGAGTGCGTCGAAGGTGCAGGTGTAATCCAAGGCTATATTATATATCCATTATATAGCCCATTTTAGGGTAGGGGTCCCCATTAAGGGTCCCTCCTTTTCCCCTTTGAGGTGTAATCTCTGGACACCCCACTTCCTTTTGCCCCCGCAACGCTCCCCTGCCATGGCAAATCCGACACTGCCACCAACGTAAAGTGCATCGCAACTCATAATGTGTTCAGATTATGATCGGTGGGTGTGTTAGTATTCAGGCCTTATTCACGCGAGAGACTTGCATGAATCTCATCTCTTCAAGAGTGACTGGCAAGCCCTGCGGGCAGGGCGCTCAATTTTCTCTGCAGGCTTTGTTGTTGATGAGTTGGGGGAGGGGCCTTTAAGGAGCCCCTGCCATCCAACAGGCGATATTATAGGGGCCTTCATAATTGTCAATAATACCATTTTGGCGGCTCCTTAATATAACTATAGTATAATGGACCCCTTATTTTTGGTAAGCACTCAGGCCCCTATGTTACGTTGGCATCAATGTTTGATTTTCGTCGTAGTTCGAACGCATGACCGCAAATTGCCAGTGTGCTTCAGGATGCCAGAATCCAAACCCCCCATGCGAGGGTGTCTGGTACGGAAGCACCCAAAACCCTAAAACCCCAAACCCTAGAACCCTAAAGCCCTAAAAACTTAAAACCCAAAACCCAAAACCCTAGAACCCTGAAGCCCTAAAAACCTAAAGCCCAAAACCCTAGAACCCTAAAGCCCTAAAAGCCTAGAAGCCTGAAACCCAAAACCTTAACACCTGAAAGCCCTAAACCCTCAGAAATTCCACCGGTCGCGATTTTCTGAGGTCTTTCTTAGACCGGCGCAGAGAGCAGATCCAGATGCAGTCGAGGAGTAGAAAATCTGAATCTCCTCTACTTATGGGGGCACCTTTTCATGGGATCCATGAGGGCTCCTTTAAAGGGATCCTCTAAGGGTTTCTATAAATGGTTTAGGGTTTAGAGTTTCCGAAAATTCGGGGGTACCTTATTTTGGGGTCCTTATAATAAGGATCCACTACTTCTGGTATTAAATCAGGTTCCCCAATTGTCGTATGGGTAGCTACGCAGTAAACCCCATAAAGTTGGAAACCGGAGTAAGGCCAAATAGTGCTGGGATTCCCTATACATTACTTAGGCTATTGGGTTTCCAACTTTTGGGCTTCTACTGTATACGGGCCTTCATAATTACCTAATCTATTTTCGGGGTTTAGAGTTTAGGATTCCCTTAAAAGGGTTATGCAAGGGCTACGATAAGGGATCAATATAGGGTCCTAAATAATTACCAAAACTTTTTGGTGGCTCCTTAGTATAAGTATAGTATTACGGGCACCAAAACCTATTAGTATTATTATGATTATTACTATTATCATTATTATTGGTGGTGTTGGTGGTGGTAGTAGTGGTGGTAGTAGTAGTAGTGGTCCCAAAAGTGTGTCTGCTTTTTGTCAGTGCTGTTGCATGGCTGCGGCCGGAAACCCTAACCCGTACTGTATAACCTGAAGCTTGCCTGAACCCTAAAGCACCTTCCATTTCGACCTCCTTATTATGCTTGGGTCAGGGGTCGTAGTAAGTAAGGCTATGGGTACCCTAATCGGGGTTCTTAGATTCTAAGTGTTTTGTAACTCTAGTTGCCTTACCCCTAAACCCTAAAACCTACACCCGAAACCCAAAACCCTCAACCCTAAACCCAAACCATAAACCCTAAAACCCAAACCCTACCCGCTCAGTCCCCCGGATTCTAGAAGCAGGCGACCCTGGAACTGCTGGAGGTCGCTCGCCGCCCGGACACTAAAGTCTCCAAATGGGAGTTTCCGAAAATTACTTCGGGGTACTTCGGATTTTTTGATTTTTGGTTACTATAATCCCTAAGAAACAGCTAAATTTGTAATTTTTGCTAGGGTTCTAAGTTCAGTATGAATTAGGGGGTCCTACGATTTAGGGGTACGATTTAGGATACTATATTCGGGCCCTCTAGTCTCGGAAACTCCCAAAGTCCGAAGCCCGAGCCCCTGAACAGCTTTAGTTTAGGGTTCAGGGTGTTGGGGTTAGGGTCTCGGGTATAGGGCTTAAGGAACCCTGAGCCAAAAGAAGCAATCCTAAAGCCCAAAACCCAAAAAACCTACTAAAGAAAGCACCAAAACACCCTCTAAGCTGTACTGCAGGTTCTATAACAGGGTCCCCTTTTAAGAGGCGCTATACTTGGAGGTTCATGGGTAGTTATAAGAGGGGTTATAAGTCCCCTAACAGGGCTTATAATTATAGTTACCCCGCGTTAAACCTTAGAGGAACCCTTACCCCACTCATAACTTCCCATAAACCTCCAAGTAGGGTTCTACGGTTTAGGGTTTAGGGTTCTAGGGTTTAGGGTTTAGGGTTCTACGGTTTAGGGTTTAGGGTTTAGGGTTTAGGGTAGGAACCTGATTAAGACACCTTGGGCCGTTTTTCGGGTTCTTTAGATGCATCCTACTTTTTTGGGGTTGTATTCCCCGAGTTTCTTAATCAGGTTCCTGCATCAGGGGCCTCAGCACCAAAACAACCTGAAAAGCTGCGCTACAGGTTCTAGAATGGGGTTTAGAAGCTGCCCCCACCTGTAATAGTGGTATAGTAGGAATATACTCGGGCCCTAATATACTTATATATAATCATTATAGTCACTATTACAGGGTGGGGGCAGCTTCTAAAATAGGGTCCCCTCCAAGAAGCCCTTTAGGGCTCTACATCACGGACCTTCCCTCCTCCACTTCCGTAGTTGTCAGAATTGTGGTCCATTTTTGGGTACCCTACCTTTTAGGAGCCGTAATATATTAGGGACCCAAACAGGGACCCCAATAGAGATATCCCCACCTGATTGGGCTAAACCCCTAAATCCCTAAATCCCTAAACCCTAATCCCTAAACCCCTAAACCCCTAAGCCCTAAACCCTAAACCCGGAGCCCCTCAACCCCTAAGCCCTAAACCCTAAGCCCTAAACCCCTATACCCTAAACCCTAAACCCCCTCCTCCTGCTTCACTTCTCTTCCCCCCCCCAGACCCCCTGCAGGATCTAGAAAGTAGATCACCTAATTTGGCATTCAGGGATCTACTTTTTGGATCCTTTTGTGGGTCTGGGATAGTAGAAGGTAGGGTTTCTATGGTAGGAGTTGCCATTATGATTTGGGAAAGTATCCCCAGCATAACAGTACCTGTGACCTTTGGAAACCAGAACCCTTCTACGAACTGATATAGGGGCCTTGCTTTTCAAGAAACCTTTGAACAAGCACCATTAAGGGATCTACTTTTTGGATCCTCCCGGGGGTCTGGGTTCTCTTCCCCGCTCCTTATAGATCCCTAAACCCTAAACCCTAAAGACCCCTTAAAGGATCCCTTAAAGGAACCCTACTAAGATCCTTCCCCCCCCCTCCGCCCGCGCCCGAGACCGAGGCGACCTCGGTGTGACACGGCTTTGGCTGCAACCCGGGTCCGAATCCCCGGAGGCTCCCCGGGTCGGGGGCGTTTAAGGGTTTACGGGGTGTTCTTAGGGGCTACCAATATCCCTTAACTAAGGTATATGCCGTATATTCTATTCTTAGGGGTACTTGGAAATATTTTTAAAATGCAATAATTTTAAAATACATTTTTGGTTACTATAATCCCAGAAACAGCTAAAATCATGATTTTTGCCAGGGTTCTAAGTTCAGTATAGTCGGGGACTTTTCGGGTTTACGGGTATACAAGGGCTACGTTCTAAATTATGACCAATCCTATTTTGGGAGCTCCCTGCTATAAGCCCCACCCCTATATTAGGGCACTTTTATAGGGTTCGGTTCCTTGAAGGGTTCATGTAGGGGGGTTGTGTTTCAGGGTTCCTCTGAAAGGTTTAGGGTTTAGGGAATCCGATTCGAAGCCACTAGCGGTGGGACCATGCCGGGTTCGCAGCGTTTGCCTTAACCAAGACCCTACCGCTTCTAGGGAATGTAGAAGGAAACGCCATGAGGCTCAAACATGAGGAACTCTAGAG